AGGCCTTTTCTCTGTTGGCTCTAGCGAACTCTGCTCTTAAACTCGTCACCTGGTGCGTGTGTGGAAACAATTCGCTCTGCCTGCGGTGGAGCCCGGGTGAGGTAGTGGAAGAGTGCGGCTCCTTCGCCAGGGAGAAGGAGGTGACGGAGAAGCTGCCCCGTGAAGCGGCACCTTCTGTCATGGTTTGCGACAGCTGGAACTAGGAAGTGTCACCGTCAAACGCGATTTGTATTGATGATGCGTTTTGGTAATGTTTGTACTGAATGTTTTTCGATTCGTTATAATTCAGTCATTTGAGCCCACTCCACAAATAAAATAGATCCTCTGTGGAGGGCAAAAGTTGCCTTTTTTTCCAAGTTCTATTTACCTCAAAACCGCACTTAATACCACTGCGGGGACGGTTCAATACTTGCTATTTGATATATATTTTGTATGCGTAGTCTGAAGATAGCTATAGTATTACCTCAGGGTAGACTTCCAAGTTATTGTGCTATGATACTGTGAGAGCATTTGCCAAATCAATAAGCAGGCTCAGAATCAGTGGCTAAGGAACAGAGGGATGGCTGAAGTGCTAGAAACAGTAGTCATGTTAGTGTGGCTGTCCTCCCAGCTGACTGGACTGAAAAACTTCTTAAGCTGTCTTGCTTTTGGAACCTGTGGGTTAGAAATGACCAGGTATAAACAAAGACAAAATAGTAGGTTTGGAACAAGCACTGGCACTTTCATCAATAAAATAATTAGTTTGAAAGGCTGTGGCCGCTGCTGTGTAGTTCTGGAGTCCAACATACAACACATTGGGGTTTTTTTTTTTTTTTTTTTTTTTTTTTTTTGTTAAAGAGAACCCAATATTTCTGGAAACTCTGTTGCACTGGTTGGTCCAAAGTACAGTTCTACTTGCTTATTCTGACCCTTAGAAAGTCATTGTGGTGTTTAAAAAAGCAAATACTTTTAGATCCTGGATTTTCCAATACTGACAGATTGTGATTTACAGTTTATTCACAATGAGACGAAGCTCAAGTACTGCCGGAAGCTGTGGTCGGCAATCTATGATGGCACTGAGAGTGCAGGACAACAACAAGATGGGTCTTCAAACACCTCAGATGTAAGTGTTGCTGATCATCTTGCTAAGAATAGGTATATAAAACTAACTCCGAAAAGATTTACTGTAGTGCATTTGAGTGCGTGAGTAGCAACTGAAAAAAATATGGGAGCAGTGAGAAGAAAACTTGCAACCCAGCATATATACACAAGTGCTCCAGTTCTGCAAAAAACTTTCTTTAATGTGTTTGTATACCCATGACACATTTCAAATTGTAACACTTTTTCTTACATATTTCTTAGGTGGCTGGGTGCGTGAGTGTATAAAATGTATACTTACAAATCTTCTTGCAGAAGTAGTTTTGATAATGACAAATAACATACTAAAATCTGACTTTTCTAAGATGCTGCTGTGCTGAAGATGCTCAGGCTTATATGTGTGTGTGTATAGTTTTCTTACATGAGCAAAAGATGAAATGGTAGAAATAGTCACTTGAATCCTTCTCCCTGTTCCTCAGGAAGGACAGAGGTACATTTGGGAAGCTGAGCATGAGCAAGCCTACACCTGGAACTTCGGAAAGAAAAGTCAGCTTTTTTGGGAAGAGGTATTAATAGCTTCAGACCTTTGTACTGTAAATTAAAACAATAATAGTCCCACATCATTTTGTAATTTTTCTCTCTTGACAGATTTTCATTATAGGGAATAATGGATGTGAGGCCAGCAGACCTTCGGGTCTGCGTTCCTCCACTCTTTGATCACTAAAAAATAATGCTGTGAAGCAGGAATTGCTTTGAGAGATGTTCTTCCTCTTGGGAATGATGTGCACTGCAGACCTTAAGAGCTCCTAGATACATTTGCCTATTTAAGGAAGAATGGTATCTCCAGTACACTCTGCCTTAGTTTCCTCTCTCTAAGATGCAAACCTTCCAAAATTCTATAGTCTTTCAGCTTATTTCGTGGCTTTCCGTGTTTTGATGTCTTGCGGGTATCTTCTTTCATAGGACCCCACTGTTGCAGGGATCCATTCTAGCCTTTGTTTTCAGTCACCTACATAATTTTCTTTCTTCATCTTTGGGGTATTTTTCTGCTCTATAAACATTTATTTCTTCCAATAAACTGAAGAAAATAATCATCTAGGATGCAGTAATCCATCTGTTCTATGTCTGCATCATGGCTTCCAGGTTAATGTTGTTTTTAAAATCATCCTAGACGAAGAGAAACCTTCAAGCATCTCTTTGCATAAGAAACATAAAAATAGCAATTTTAGTGATCTAAACATGAAGAGAGTTCTTCTTTGTATGTATTGTCACAAGAACCATATTTATTTTTTGTCCTTAGAACTAGTGGGGCTGGAGGTTCACGCAACAGTCAGTATGGTGTGTTTGGTACAGAGAAGATCAAGGATCCCAGGCCACTTCATGACAAGGCATTCATCCAACAATGTATCAAGCAGCTTTGTGAAGTAACTTATTAAATTACTCTAAACATTCATTACTAAGCATAAATATACTAAACAAAATATTTATTTTTCAGGGTTTCAACTTCAGATTTTCTTTAGTGACTAATATGGCATGTTTCTTTTTCTCAGTTTCTTGCTGAGAATGGTTACGCCCATAATGTTTCCATGAAATCACTACAGTCTCCATCAGTTAAGGACTTTTTAAAAATCTTCACTTTTATCTATGGATTTCTCTGCCCTTCTTACGAACTGCCTGACTCAAAATTTGAAGAGGAAATTCCCAAAGTTTTCAAAGAGCTTGGGTAAGATCACTATTGTTAGTCTGTTGTGCTAAATAGATACGATATCACTAGAAATTTAAAAGCTAAAAATTCTGCATAATGGCTGCGGAGAACAGATAGGCTTCTTTATTCAGATGAGACTCTGAAACTACAATGTTGTGATTATTTTGTTTCACTTTTGTTTAGCTCTAAGTTTAGTCTCTGATTCTCAGACCCTACTATACATTTTATATTTGAACTTCCAGAACTGTAGGCTCTTGGAAGCTTGCTTCATAATGTAAGATCTAATTAGTCATGTTTATTTGTATTAAGCTTTGAAAGATAGACAAAAATTTTTTTGACAGACTCTTAGGGTTCATTCTGTTAAAATCCAAGAACTGAAAAACAGTTTCAGAATGTTGGATTTGGTTTATTTAGTTAAAAATAATTTTTCCTGTAATTCTGTCATTCTGCTTTCAAAGCAGGGGGTGGAAATAACAAAAATGACCGCTGAGGTGAAAAAAACCCCGCTAAATAGCTGGGAGGTTTATTTCTAATCTTGTTCAGTCAGTGTTTTGAATCATTCATGCACCACTACTTTCCAAGAAAGAAAATCTTCTGCCTATTGTTAACAGTGAACTTTTGGTCTCATTACAATATACTTAGCTTCTTTTTTACTTCTGTAGATTTGAGCCCATGATGATGTCAAAAGACCAGGGCTCCTTAGATATAGGTATAAGTCTGTTCTGTTCACTTCTCAGTATTTAAAAAAAAATTGGTTTAACCTACAACATTTGAAACTGCTGACCTAGCTGAAATGTTGAAAAATAAGTTGCTCTCAAGAGGCTTTACTCTGCTGCACCAAGAGTGTTATCCTGGATAAAAAGACTTATTTTGAAAACTCACTTTACGTTGCCTTTTGAGAGTTAGAAAAGGGACCTAAATAATTCATTTTTAAAAAGTTCTCAGGCTGAATGGCTCATGAGCTCTTATTTAGAATTGTCAGTTTATCAGTAGCTTCGTGTCCTATGTTCTTAAAATAACTTTGGGCAGTTGTCAGTCTAAAGACGGAATAAAATCTGCACTGCTGTGTTCCTTGTTTTGTACAAGATTTTGAGGGGATATCTGTAATTAGCTGTATAGTCCTTGTGTGTTCCATATTTATAGGTAATATTAATACTTTTTATGCAGCTGTTCTGAAATTCTTTTCTGTAATTGCATGACATTAAGCTGATTGTCAGTTGCTTTCCTGTTTTCAAAGTGCATTTGAC